GTGTAGGGAATGGGGTGGGGGGCAGGAATTGGGGTGTTGGGAGGACAGATGGGGTGATGGTGGTGGGAGGGGGCTGCACTGGGAGCTGCAGAGTCCTGGGGGTGCAGCAGYCCCCCCGTGCCCCCAGACTGCCATMAKCATGGGGGTCTCGGTTCCCYGCAGCCCCCAAACASCCCCAGAGAAAGGACCCCGCGCCCCCACCCCAACATCTGCAKCCTCCGGGAGCATTCGGACACCGCAGCCAAGGCTGGCAGCACCTCGGACACTCCGGGCAGTGACAGCAGGACAGCCACCCCCGATGGTGACAGCGGGGACCCTCCTGCGGTCCCCCCGCCGCCCACACACTGCTGCGGGACCGGCTGTCCCAACTGCGTCTGGGTGGCATACGTGGAGGAGCTGCTGGAGCAGCACCAGGATGGYGGAGCTCGGGCTTTGGARGCCGTGGAGCAGCACGTGGAGGACGAGAACATCAAAATGATCCTCAGGATGGAGATCAGGCTGCGCTCCAAGAAGGACTGAGCCTCCTCCACGCCCCCCAAAGCGGCGGGGATATCCTTGGGGTGGGCAGATTTGGACTGGGGTTATTTATAGTGTTTGTTGTGTGCTGAGCACGGGATCCCGCGGGTGTCACACGAGGCTGGGTCACCTCCCGTCTCAGAGGGAGCTGCCCTTGGGGACAGGCAGYGGCTCAGGCCCRTCCTGAKCCCCGGATTTCCTGGGAGCTGGGTGYTGTGCCCTCCCCATATGGCAAATCCCTGCCAAGGGCAGCCCCCACGCCCAGCCCTGCCCCTCCTGTGCTCCCTGCTGCAATTTAATCACCTTGGGGGGATTTTCAGCACCTTGGCTGTGCCCTGGCGCTGGGGAGGGGCTCAGGGGGGCAGCGTGTGGCCCCGGGCACGTGGGAAGGGAAGCAGCAGCCTCCTGTCAAGGACAGTCCTGGCCCTGGTTGCTGCTCTCCAAGGTGCCTTCTCTTCCTCAGTCCCTTCTGCCTCCCCCTTAAATCCCCATAAAGTTGTCCCAAACCCCTCCAAGTCCATCCTGGGGCACTCACAGCCACTGAGACCCACGCAGACCCCCTCACATCATCCCAGGACAAAGTCCCCAAGAAGCCCCAAGCCCTCGAGTGTCACTCACTAAYGAACCCCAATTAAGAGCCAGGCTCTGCTCTCTGCCAGAGAAGTAAATGGTTCTCCATGGAAAACACTCCTGGATCCCTTTAATCCTATTTGTTGGAGCCCAACTAATTGCAGCTAGTGGCAGGGGCTGAAGTTCAATTAAAGTGTGCCAAGATTATTCCATTTTTAATTGCTTTAGTGCTGGATTAGGGAAGCTTTGGAGTGACACCAGCCCTGGGCTGGGTCTGCTGTCTGGCCGGGATCAGGACCCCCACCCAGGATGGGGACTGGAACGGGGGTCCTGTGGGTCATTTTGGGATCGAGGGGCACTGGGGGAATCTCTGGGAATGGGGATCCCCCAGGAGAGGAGGCAGGATTCCCCCCACGTGGGATCYGCTGCCCACCCAGCACGGTCAGGACTAATCCTGGCACCTCCTCCCCACCAGAGAGGAGAAGGACACCGGATTACCCCTTGGGAAAGAAGGGAGGTGAATAATCCTATTACCCCTGGGCAGGATAAATCTCCCTCCCCGAAAAGCCCCCCAGAGCATCTCCAGCCCTGGGACGGAGGGAGCAGCTCTGGCCTCGGGACTCGTGGGACTGCGTGAGTTGGGGGTGTCCGGGATGGGATGGGGGATGCTCTTCCTGCATCCAGGAGCATCTCCCTGGGTTGGATCCTTCTCCCCAGGCTCTGCATTGGGGCCAGAGCCGGGGTTTGGGCTGCAGAATTCCCATTCCTGATGCCATGGCCATCCTCTGCTCCCCCTTTCCCCACCCCTACAGACCCAGGACAAGCCATGGGAGGGGTCCTGGCAGTGCCCTGAGGGTCCCCAGGTGTCACCTCCACACTGGGGTGGGGCACAGGGGATGAAGGAGCAGCAGCTGTGGTGCCCCCCCCGGGATGCCCTTCCCTGCCTTTGGGGACTAACAGCTGAGCTGGGCTGGTCAGCATTGTGGGGAGGGGGCTCCCCAAAGCCCATCGGGGGCTGGAGGGGCACTGGGTGGAGGAGGTGGTGTCCCCCATCCCTGCAGAGGGGTGAAGGTGACCCGGGATCCGCAGGGAACRCCGCGAGCAGGGGCTGCCGGCCCCCACAGCCATGAGCCTGGAGCCCCCCAAGCTGGAGGTCAAATCGGCCACCAGGGTGACCGGGGGACCCGCCACCCCYCGAAAGGGACCCCCCAAGTTCAAGCAGAGGCAGACAAGGCAGTTCAAGAGCAAACCCCCCAAAAARGGGGTGCAGGGGTGAGTGGGGAAGGGTCCTGGGGTGGGGTGGGGGCCCTGCCTGGGGGTCAGGCCGGACRATCCCTCTTTCCTTGCAGGTTTGGTGATGACATTCCAGGCATGGAGGGGCTGGGAACAGGTAYGGGAATCCACCCCCCTTTATGGGGTGGGGGTCAGGGGTTGGGCAGTGGAGGGGTCACTGCCACAACTCTGTCCTCTCTCCTCAGACATCACTGTCATCTGTCCCTGGGAAGCCTTCAGCCACCTGGAGCTGCACGAGCTGGCTCAGTACGGAATCATTTAGGATTTAGGAGAGCTCCCCACCCCTGTAGTGCTGTGTAGATCAAGGCTCCCCTGCCTGTGGGAGGGGGCTCAGCTTGGAAAAATGCTCATTAAACCAAAACGAGAACAGGAGTTGGTGTCATGGGCTGGGGGGGAGGGAAAACGGCTCCCCAAGGCCTGGGGTGGGATGGGCAGGATATGGAGGGGTTCAGGATCCTGATGAAGTTTATTTGGGGCTGGACCAGCACTCCAGACCACCCCAAACCCCCACCCTCCCACCTCCAGACAGCCACAATGTCCCCTCGCACCCTGCACTGGTGACAATGATAGGATGGACAAGACACAGACGGGTTCAGGATTCTCACAAAGTTTATTTGAAACCGGACCAGCCCCGCACATACCCCAACCACCCCGCTGCCCTCACAGCCACGATATCCCCGAGCACCCTCAGYGCCATGAGCGCTCCCACGGCCTCCACCAGCACCAGGACGGTGGCCCCGGTGGCGATAGCCCCGGCTTGGCCCCGCAGCCACGCACCCAGCGCGGCCCCACAGCCCTCCGTGTGCACCAGAGCCCCGGCCGCCGCCGCCCCCAGCCCCAGCACCCCAAAACCGCACTGGGCGTTGGGGACGGAGCCGTTCTGCAGCGCGTCCTGGCAGCAGGAGGATGGCACCCCGCACGCCTGCACCCCCGGGGCGCTGCAGTTGAAATACCTGCGGGATGGACACGGAAATGTGGGGTCACGCACATTTGGGGTGCGGGGAGGGGGTCCCCTGTGCCCCCCAGCCACACAGCTGGACACCAGCCATGGGTCCCACTCATCCCTCTCTTATCTGGACACTCCCAGGGCTGCCCACCCTAAACACAGACCCCACAAGGAACAGGGGGGTCCCCCCAACACCCCGCAGCCCCGACTCACGGGTTGCTCTCCCAGTCACGGTAGGACTCGAGGCCGCAGCACTGCAGGCTCCGCTGCACCTCGTCCGCCAGGAACTGCAGGTCGGGATCGTCCCGGTAGCGCAGCAGGCACAGGAGCAGCAGGTCCCGCAGCGCATCCCGCAGCCTCCTCCGTGCCAGCAGCAGCAGGAGCCCCCCCAGCACCTGCAGCCCCCCGAAAGCCAGCACAGCGCCCAGGAAGAAGCGCAGCAGGCAGGGGCTGGCACGGAAAGCGCCCAAGCAGCCGGCCAGGGACACGGCGCTGGCCGCCAGCCCCGCCAGCACGAACAGCAGCATGGGGTCCGAGCCCAGGGGCACCCCGCCCTTGGCCAGCAGCCCCCAGACCCCCACGGCCAGCACCAGCAGCCCCAGCAGGAGGAAGAGGAGGTTCCAGAGGAAGGCCAGGCAGCGCACGCAGCGGCTGAAGGGGCTCAGTTTGGGGGGGTCGGGGTACCACAGCCCCTGGTCCTGCTCAGCCGTGTCCCCGGGTAATGAGGGGCCATCATCATCATCATCATCGTCATCGAAGGAAGAATAGGGCAGCTCCACCAGTCTGGACGCCTGCACGGACAGAGAGCCACTCACAGCCCCCCAGAAATGCCCTCGTACCTCACCCCACAGCCAGACACTCTCACGGGCTCCTGGAGCCGCCCTACACACCCTCGCTGAGCACAGGGAACCCCAAACTCACCCCTGCTCATCGCGGGGAGCCCCTCAAAGGCCCTGCCCCTAAACGACCCCCAGAGCTGCGGGATGCGGCACAGAGCCAGCACCCTGGTACCCGGGTAAGGGGTGCCGGCGTTACCTGGGGCAGCAGCCGGGTGCTCTCCCCGTGGGGCTGGAACAGCCGGACTCTGCTCAGCGCCATCACCGCTCCCCCGTACCGGACCCCAGTCACACTTCCATCATGTGAGGGGCTGCGGGCGGGCCTAAATGGAGCTGTGTGTGCCGCCCCACAGCTGGACACGATCCCCCTACCCACCCATCCCCGCAGCTGGCCCCCATCTCCCCCTGCTCCACAGATGGACCCGAATCCCCCTCCCCAAAACACCGCGGCGCCCCTCCGACGGGCAGGTTGCGTGCGGAACTAAAGAACGAGKGCGGCGGCAGGGAGGGACATCTGTATCCGTGGCACCGAGGCGGTGTGGGGGACCATTGTGGCGGTGACACCGAGGCAGTACGGGGGGACCATTGACGGTGGCACCGGGATAGGAACCTTGTTGCGGCGGAACGCGGGCGCTGGGCGCGGGGCCGGGGGGCGGGCGCGAGGGCGGGCCGGTCCCGGGAGGCGGCGGGCCGGGCCGGGAGGAGCCGGGAAGGACCGGGAAGGGACGGGACGGGAAAGGCAGGGCCGGGCCGGGACAAACGGAGCGCGACGGGCCGGACCGGGCCGTGTCTGTGCGGCGCGGCGAGCCCCGGGCCCGCGGGCAGCGCCATGGCCGAGACGATTGTGAGTGCGGCCGGGGGAGGGGCGATGAGGCAGCAGATTCCTGTGGGGCCGGGACGGGGCACCGGGACGGGGGGCCGGGGTCGGGGCCGGCGGTGTCCGGGCCGGGCAGCCCCACGAGCGGCGCCGCGGGCGGGTCCCCCGTGGTTTTACCCCCGGGGTTGGGGCCGTGACCCGGCGGTGCCGCTCAGCCCCGGACGGGGGGATCGGGAGAGGCGGAGAAGGGGCTGCTCCGTCCGGTGAAGGGCTCCCGGTGCCGTCCCGGCGGGTTTGTGCCCGGGAGAGGAGTTGGGAGAGTGGAAAGGGGCTCCTGCGGGGTGACGGCGGGACACGGCCAGCTGCCCGTGTCCCCTCCCGTGTCTGTCCCTTGCCCCTGTCCCCATTGCCACCCTCSCGTCCCTGCCGTGTCCCCGTGTCACACAGGAGCAGTTGAGCGTCCCCTTTAGAACAGCTCAGGTCCCTCCGCTGCCCCTCAACACTCCGGGACACCGATATTCACATTCGTTCCTTCCCTGCGTGTCCCCGGAGGATTCCCCTGGCCTTTTTCCCCCCGGATCTGCCGGTTGTTGCCATCCGGGAGCTCGGGTTTCTCGGAGCAGCTGGAGCTCCGTGTCTCTCCCCACTCCTTCGTTACCGGGGCTCAGCCACAAACCAGTGCAGTGCCCAGTAACACCAGTTAGGCCGGTGCCTGTGTGAATAACTCCTCCGTGAAAGCTCTGATCCACCCTCCTGAAGGTCTAATTTCATCTCTGAGGTCAGAGCTTTGGCCAAAGGTGTTTTCCTTGGAGCCAACTCCTGCCAAGAGCCCGGAGCGTTGGAATGATTCCCCTCATGCTCRCACACATCACCCAAAACTGCTTTCCTGGATGATTCCAGGCCCTGTGGAAGATGGAAACAGGAGGGAGGAGTGGGGGAATGGCAGTCTGGGTGCTCAGGGTGGACCCCGTGCCCCCCATTCCTGACTCGGTGTTCCCTCATTCCCAGATTATCCGCGTGCAGTCGCCGGAGGGAGTGAAGAGAATCACGGCCACGAAAAGAGAAACAGTGGCAACGTTCCTCAAAAAGGTACCTCAGGATCTRCTGTGCCTTCCCATGGGATGGGGCAGAGCTCCCCTGGCTCTGTCCCATGGGAGATCCACGTTTAACCTCACAGGCAGCAGCAAGGGATGGCATTCCGTGTGGAAAAACACATTTTGATTGGTGTCACTGCTTTGTTTCAGAGGGAAAATAACAAATGTAAAGAAAAAGCTTCCTCAGCTTCTCCATTGAGGTTTCCTGGGGTGGGAACTTTCCTGGGAAGGATGCTTTTTAGGGTTCTCCTAAAGAAGTGGCAGCTGGGAGGCAGAAGGGGAGCTGTGGGATGGTCTAACCTGCTGCTCCGGGAGGGATCCAGGCCTGGCTCAGCTGCTGGATTTAGGCTTGGAATATCATTTAGATGTGCAGTGTGTGCCCCTGATTTTCCAATATGGATTTGGAGAGAGGAAGGGAGGGATTGAGTGARATTCAGGAGCCTCTGGGCTGTCCTGGGGAGGATTCCCAGCCTGAAATGATGGGAATGCACCGGGGGGAGCTCTCAGGATGGCGCTGGCTCTGCTGTGATGCTTTAGCAATGTTCTGTGTTCTTTAGCAATGAACAGTTYTCCATTTGCTTCCCTCCTGGAGCTCTTGTGGGTTCTTTGCTCTGTGTATTCCCAAAGGGCCGGGCAGGTTCCCATTCCCTGTGAGAGGGAARGGAGTGGGACAGGTGGAAACCTTCCCTTTGTGAGTCACTGGCTTTGCTCAGAGCTGTGGCCCAGACACAGCAGCATTCCCTGACAGCATTCCCACCTGGCCAGGAGCAATCCCCGTGTTTTTTTTCCAGGGCTGGCTCCTTGCAGCCCCAGCCCAGGGARGAGGAGCTGCCAGGATCTCTGGAGCCAGTGCAGAACAAGCTGCTGCTTTCCAGGGCTCAGGTTACCCGAGGGAACAATCAGGCTGGAAAACACTTCCTGCCAGGACAAAAGCACCTGGAATTGCCTGTTGATCTGGGGAAAGCTCTGTCCTCTGGCTGAGCTGGAGACAAGACGTGTTTGGGTTTATTTCCTGCTGCAGGGTTTGCTTGGAAGAGAAAAGTGGTGAATTTTCCCAGCTGAGGTGTGTGTTTTATCTCAATCCAGGTCTCTCCTACCTGTGCTGCGGATTTTAATGCTGGAATGTTCACCCAGGGGGTGGGTTTGGTGTTTAGGGGGACAGCTGTAATTAGAGAGGTATCAGATTGCTGCTTCCATAATGGGAATTAACCTGGATCTGCTCCAGAARTGTTCACAGAATCAGGGGCTGGAGAATCTTCCCTGTCTCCTGTGGCACATCTTGGGGAAAAGCACCAAAAAAAGTCACTGTGGGTGTGCTCAGGGCAGAGTCAAGTCAGGAATCAGCTCAAACCTGTTGATGGGATTTGTCTGCCCCCAAAAATGGAATTGTGTGGCCTGAGGAGCAGGAGCTGATCCCTGTGAAAGGRTCCCATTCACAGCGATGGCTCAGTGCTGCAAATCACAGCCGAGCTGACAGGAAAAAAAAAATGCTTTTCATGGCTTTGCTCATGTGATGGCTCTTTGTGGCTCATCAGATTTGTCCTGTGGGCAGGATCCTGTCCCTGACTCCGACTAAAGACRCGGGCATCGTTTTTATTAATAAAAATAAAGGCCTTTCACTTCAGAATTTAGGGCAAAACTTGTCAAACAGACAAACTTTAAACACCACTTTTTAACTGATGGAGTTCTCAAGTGGCCAAATGTGCAAATTATTTTTGCTGGGAAGAGGTGTTGGAGTAATTCCAAGAAAATCAGCCTTAATCTGAGCTGGGAAAACCTGCCTGGGGACTGTGGGGTGGCTGTTCCTGGGGGGAATTTCATAGGAGAGAGGAGAAAAAGGGGGAAAATGGGATGGAACAGTGAGAAGAGGTTGAGTGAAGCAACTGGGGGTGGGARTGGAGCTGAGTGGAGTGTGGAATTCTGGTGACAGGAGGATGGGAATGATCTGGTGYTGTGTGCTGGTGCAGCTGGAGCAAGAAAACCAGGATAATGGAGAAATTTCCCCCTCCAGTCATGCAGTGCTTGCCTGGCTGTAGCTGAAACTCTGCATTTGTGTTGTGTGAGGCAGAGACAGTTCTGGTGAAGTTTGTTTAAGCTCCTGTTTTAATTTAAACACATTGCTTGTGTTTCCAGGTGTTTCCATTTCTGAGCTCAGGAATGGGTGGAAATTGAGCTGAATTTTTGCAGTAGAAGTTCCMTGGGAATAGCTGTGGCTCTGAACCCCTTCCATGAGGCTCCTCACACCTCTTCCCTGTGTTTCAGGTGGCAAAGGAATTTGGRTTCAGGAATAATGGCTTTTCTGTGTACACCAACCGCAACAGGACCGGGGAGATCACGGCGGCGCAGAACAAATCCCTCAACCTGCTCAAGATCAAGTGAGTCCTCACGGGGAGAGGGCTCTGCTTGGAGAGAAAAATCACATTCCAGGAGTTCCCAGCTTCCAGGGGCACTGGTGGGATTGGTGGCTGTGCTGGAATCACAGTGACATGGGAGAGGTGGTGGCTGTTCTTTGGGTCACTCCTTGGGTTGTGTTTGCTGTGGGAAGGCTTTGTCCCAGCTTTCCCTSYYTAATCCCTGCTTTCMCCTCTTCATCCCAACTTTCCCTCTYGTGCCCCCACTTTCCCTCTCTCATCCCCAACCTTCCCTGCCTTATCCCCCCATTTCTGTATCCCTGTTTTCACCTTTTCATCCTTTCCTACCCTCCCACTCCCTGTTTCCCTCCATCACCCCTCTTTTCCTCCATCCCATCTTTCTCTCCCACATCCATGTTTTCATTCCTTCATCCCCACTCCCTCCTCCATGTTTTCCCCTCAGTTTTGTCTCCTGATGGAAAGATTGCATTTTTTTTTGCAAATAAAAGCAGGAAGAGGTGGCTCACAAGTGGAGCAGCTTCCACCTGTGCTGTTCTGGTTAAAATCTGTGCCCCATTCCATGTTTTTCCATGGTTTGGGAAGCTGGCTGCCTKCTGGGAAGCATCTCCAGCTTCCTGTGTGTTGTTTCCCTCACCTCCCACTACCCCTGTGCTGTTTCCCACCCTGCAGGCACGGGGATATGCTGTTCCTGTATCCCTCAAGCCCAGCTGGCTCYTCCTCAGAGACCATGGACACCTCTGTCTCCCAAAATTCCCGGCCTGGGGGAGCTCCCCAGGTGGTGGAAGATGAGATTGACCAGTACCTGATCAAACAGGATGGCAAGATTTACCGAAACAGAGACCAGCAGCTGTAAGTGGGGGTGGGTTGTGTTCCTGCCCGTGGATTTGGGTCTCACCAGAGCTTGGAATGTCATGGGCAGCCCAGCAGTCAGGAAATGTACTGTGGGAACTGCCTTTGGCTCCATTCTGAGTGTCCTGGGGATGTTCCCAAGGGAAAACAGCCCCTGTCATTGTCCTGGGAGGTTCAGTGAAGCC